AGGTCACACATTGTATGTATCTATGTGTGTGTGTGTGTGTGTGTGTATATATATATATATATATATATATATATATTTATATATATATATATATATATGCAAGAAAGGGAATGCAAGAAAGGGAATTAAGGGCTGCGCTTGGACAAAAAGATAAAAAATGTGGAAAAAATGTATTTAGATAAAATAAACATTAATAATAAAATCAGGTAAAGTTCATCCAGATATATAAGAGTATAAATTGAAACAGTCTCACTGATGTGCAGTAATACGATAATAGTCCTCAAGTGTTGCTCCGTCCGTATGGTAGTTGTTCATATATGTGAAGATAAGAAACAAAAGAAAAAGCTGCCAATGGTGAAATATTGTATGTCCAGATGTGGTATATAGTCAAAGAAAAGGTATTTCACTCACATTTGTTGGAGCTTTAACCAGCTCTAGGAGAAGAGGCACTTAGTGGTTTAATCCCCACTATCGGATGTACTTAGATGGTTGGTCCGTCTATCCGGCTTGGAATTCCTTTGGTGTAGGCTAGGACCTACTCAGATGTGGGTAGTTCTTTAATGCTGGGGAGATAGGTCCGCCTCTCCGGTATTGGATAGTAGGTATCCACGGGATATATATAAAACAGCAAATAGTGCTCTCAGTGTGAACAACAAAGAAATATCTTAAAATAAGTTATACTTACAAGAATAGAGCAGACAGATTCTGCTCTATTGCCACAGCGCTGGTGGAATTATCCCCACCTAAGGATTTCTTTGGACGGGATACACTTCAAGTTAAAAAATAAAATAACAATAAAAAGTGGAAGGATAAAAAAAATAAAATAAAACTATAAAATAGTATAAAAATAATAATTATAATGTAAAAATGCCAGGAGTAGAAAAAGTGTAGGGGATTTGGGAATTGTTCTAGACCACAAATTAGGCTGCAATATGCAATGTCAAATTGCAGTTGCTAAGGCCAATAAGGTTTTTTTCATGTTTAAATAGGGGCATAAATTTTCAGGATGAAAATATAATTTTGCCTCTCTATAAATCGCTTGTAATATCACCCCTTGAATATGCTTTGCAATTTTGGGCACCTGTACTAAAGAAGGATATAATGGCACTGGAAAAAGTGCAGAAACGAGTTTAACAATGATAAAATGAGGCTGCACCAAAACAAAAAAAATCGGAACTAAAATAAAGGCACAAAGGAAAATGTGTGTGAGTGTACCCAAGCCTTTTTTTTTTTTTTTGTACCCCACCCCAACCCCAAGACAACGATGACAGACATGCAAAAGTGTTAAGCTTGGTCAAATGCCATGTTAAAACATGTCAGCTCTGTGAAACTTGTACTAAAACTGTATCCCCAAGGTTTCATTTCTGTACCCCCACCCCAAACAACAAAATTTTCCAAAATAAAAAATTTATAAAAAAAAAAATGATAAAAGGAATGTAGAATTTTAGTTACGAAAAAAGGTGAAAAAAAATTAAATCTCTTTAGTTTGGAAAAACAGTGCCTCAGAGGGTATATGATAACATACAAATATATCCACGGCCAGTACAAACCACTGTCTGGAAATCTATTCATAAACAGGGCTATAATAGGACACAAGGCCATGCATTTAGGCTGGAAGAAAGGAGATTTAATCTAAGGCAAAGAAAAGGTTTTTTTACAGTAAGAACTATAAGGATGTGGAATTCTCTGCCTGAAGAGGTAGTTTTATCAGAGTTCATACAGATGTTTAAACAGCAATTTGATAAATACTTCAAAAAACATAATATACAGGGATATCATTTCTAATTTGTGAGGTAATAGCTGCTTGATCCAAGGAGATATCTGACTGCCATTTTGGGGTCAAGAAGGATTTTTTTCCCCTAGTTTGTGGCAAAATTTGAAGTGTTTCAGACTGGATTTTTTGTCTTCTTTTGGATTAACAGCAAAAATATATATGAGGAAGGCTGACCTTGATGGACGCAAGTTTTTGTTTTTTTTAAGCTATGTAACTATGTATGTATCCATGTTTCTACTATTCTGTGTAACTGCCCTCAATGCTAGCATAGCACTATAACCACATTGTATATCTATGCAAAAAAAGGATTAGTGAATGCTAAAAGATGGGTCAACAAGAGGAGACATAACCAGTCCAGTGATTGTACCAACTGCTAATCAGCATTGAAGAGGAACGTTAACAACCAATCAGAATGTAGGGATATTCAGTCAGACTCCGTCCATTTCCTAGTTATACGTGAGTAATACACATTTTATTAGTGGAGGGCAGTCTGCAGTTACATTTAGAGACAGGCGTCTCATGTCTAGTTCTAATGGCACCCTTGTAAACTGCATTTGCAAAGTTAGTTCTACATTATAGAAGTATACAAAGAGTCATTTAAAATGCACACAAAATGGCTGCAAGGGAAGGGAAGTGTTTTTTTATTTTTTTTTATTTAATAGATTGTGGTTTCCTTTGATATTCTTCTATAAAAATGTGATTAGTGGGTATTCTTTATTTCTGTTTCATAATTACTAATTAAGCTCTAGTGGAGAAACTGACATTTTACTAATGATAAAGCTGTAAAAATCTTTTAACAATATTCATTATTTTGTTAAAAAAAAATTAATAATAAAATTCTACGGAGATACAACTTCTATTGAACTGTATCAATCTGATTATTTGAATCCGGTAAGTCTGGTGTCCTTGAAAATGTCTGCATCTGCATCCATCTACTTTCAATCAAAAATTATTTATCTATATTTCTTGTACATATCTATTGTATGTTGAAAATTGTATTAATAAATGTATTGTACAGTATATGTCTATTATGTGTATAATATTGTATTTGCTCTCCGTGACAAACTGTAAAACATGAAATATTTCAGTATATCCTTTCTGTTAGAACATTTTATTTAAAAAAAAATTACCTTTTGCCATAATTTTGTTATATTGATATGGATAAAAGTATTTTTTTATATTAGGAGATAAAATGGATTATATGACCAGTAGATCAGGAATCCTGACTGCATAGATTGAACAGGGGTCAGGGACACAACTAATGAATATATATGAAAAAAAAAAAAATATATATATATATATATATACACCACAATATATAGAAAACGGGTAAAAGGGGAAACAAATCAGAATTTTGAAAGCAAAGCACAGGCTTAATTAGGCATATGAGCATCTTGCCACATGAGTAGACTAAAAAGTTGGACTTTTATATGCTGATAATTAGCTCTAATTATGTATTTGTGAATGGCTAATAAGAAGGTTAATAAATAACATGGTTGTTGCCAAAAGCAGATGTTCCATCTTGGTTACTATGTAGAATTAACTTTTTGTGAAGGACATGCAAATTTCCTGGAGGATTAATGGAATGTGCTAAATATAGGTGGTTATGTCCATATAAGGACATGCTTGTGAGGATGGATAAATGTAAATAATGAAGTCTTGTGACATTGTGCATCCTGGATCCCATGACATAAAAACCTTAACCATCATGGCAACTCATATCACATCTCTTACATGGAACGGTGGGTTTTCAATGCTATGGAATCACATAACTTTGCATTGCATCTCCTCATTTATCCAGAGACCTATTCTGGCTTCTCCTGCATCACTACTGTGACATGGTTTTATTGCAGTTGACTGCTGATCCACCCCATATATTTTACATTTTATTGTACAGATTTTTAGGATAGAACGTAATAAAATATTAAAATAATGAGAACGCAAATTTTCTGAAATATAAGTCCACAAATAATGGAATATCACATATTATTATTATTTATATAATAAAATGATATTCCCCAGCCTGTTACAAATATAAAATGGGAATATTTACATATACAATATATAACCGAGACGAGCTTACAATCTATGAGAAAGGGGTAAAGACACTCAAGAGAAATAACACTATGTCAGAGGGGATGAGGGATTGATGGATAAGATGCCTTTGATGAAATAAGCTAGTAAAAGTGGCACGTGGAAGAACCAAACCGTGGCAGGAGAGAGAGTGAACTGGCCTATGGAGGCAAAGGAAGGGATGAGGGCGATGAAATGGAGTGTCACCCAGGCAGGGCCGTCTATAATATGATTAGGACCCTGGGCAATGCATTTTCTTGGGCCCCATGGGCCCTGTCCCTGCCACTGCCTCACCCCCCAATTACGTCCAACCCGCAATCACACTGACAGACGTACTGGCACATACACACACAGACAGACATTAAAACATTCACAGATACATACTGACACACACATTCACTAC